TTTACCATTTACCATTTACCATTTACCATTTACCATTTACCATTTACTTACCTATGGAGATCCTTACATGGATCCAGCTCTCTCAGATTGAACAGGATGTCTGACACTCCTGTTTTTATCCATGAGCCAGGGTTCCCTGATTGGACCAGGTTAACAGTCCTAATCAGGGAACTCATATTCTAGGAGGACTCCTTAGTTCACCTCATTACAACCACTACAGTGGGTTTTAGAGCAGACATTAGTCACTGGCATCCATTTTACAACTTTTACTTCAAAAGCAAGGGAATTCACCAGTAGATTGTAGTATCTTTCAGTTGTTGGAAAAGGATGCTGTAGGAAGACAAGATAGCAACTATTTTGTTATTTTACTCATACTGGTCCTAGTATTAGCTACAGCTCTTCCAAGTGTGAATTTAAGAATCCTCACTAGTTTTGTTTAGATGCCACTTGTACAGTCTCAGTTTTAATATTTAATTACTCTGAATTGGCATTGGTAGATCTTAAGTCTGCCCTGTTAATTGTAGAGACGTATGCTTATTTACACTTCTTGTTCCTTCTCCTTTCTTTAATGTCTGTTGTCCTTACGCCCCGCGTGTTGGAACTTGGAACTTTTATAGAATTAGTCTTAATTTAATGAATATTCATTCTAGAAAAATAACCGTTAATATATTCTTGAAGCTGCTGATACAGCCATTAACTAGACCAATCTTTTCCAGACCCTGCTTCTCCTCTCCCCCACCAACACTGCTAGCCATTAACCTACTTCAGTCTATGTTCACTCAACATCTCTGCCATCGTCCCCAGCTACTCAGAACATTCCTATAGCCTCAACCCCTTCTGATCCAATTCCTTCTCTTACAATTACTCCTTCTTGGCCTGATACCAGTGGATACTGTTCCCGTTGTGGCCTCCTCTACATCGGGGAAACCAAGTGGAGGCCTGGGGACCGCTTTGCGGAACACCTACGCTCGGTTCGCACTAAACAACTGCACCTCCCAGTTGTGAACCATTTCAACTCCCACTCCCATTCCTCAGACGACATGTCCATCCTGGGCCTCCTGCAGTGCCACAACGATGCCACCCGAAGGTTGCAGGAACAGCACCTCATATTTCACTTGGGAGCCCTGCAGCCCAATGATATCAATGTGGACTTCACAAGCTTCAAAATCTCCCCTCCACCTACCGCATCCCAAAACCAGCCCAGCTTGTCCCCGCCTCCCTAACCTGTCCTTCCTCCCACCTATCCCCTCCTCCCACCTCAAGCCCCACCACCATCTCCTACCTACTAGCCTCATCCTGCCCCCTTTGACCTGTCCGTCCTCCCTGGACTGACCTATCTCCTCCCTAACTCCCCACCTACACTCAACTTTACTGGCTCCATCCCCGCCTCTTTGACCTGTCTGTTTCCTCTCCACCTATCTTCTCCTCTATCCATCTTCTATCTGCTTCCTCCTCTCTCCCTATTTATTTCAGAACCCCTTCCCCTCCCCCATTTCTCAAGAAGGGTCTAGGCCTGAAACGTCAGCCTTCCTGCTCCTCTGATGCTGCTTGGCCTGCTGTGTTCATCCAGCTCTACACCTTGTTATCTCAGATTCTCCAGCATCAGCAGTTCCTACTATCTCTGACACAGAACTTGTGTTAAACGACCTACTCTTATGCTATAAAGTGTTACGTAATTGACTTCATCTCCATTTTCTTTAATCTGCCTTTTGTCCAGCCTAAACATCAAAAATTCATTGTCTGTGCTCATAGCTTGGTGTCACCACCTCCTCCTCACTTCCTCCACCTTTTGCAACATTTAACATCAGCTGTCTTCTGTGGCCACCTTTTTGGGAATGCTTTATCCTGCTTCCTTCTAACTATTGTCCTCTAACCCCTGCACACGAACTTCACAGATGTCCAGAGCTCCCTTCTACATCCTGATGCTTGGCAACATCATTCATAGTCATTGGTTCAGTTTTCTTAAGTCAGCTGGTGGCACTCAACTCTACTTGTCAACTGGAATGCTCAATTACAGACTCATCAGAGTTTTTCGCTGGTATTGGTAATAACAAATTATACTTGTATAGCACCATTGACATAATGAAACATGTCAAGGGACTTAACAGGAGCATTATAAAACAATGTATGACACTGACCCACATAAGGAGCTCTTAGATCAGATGAACAAGTTTGGTTAAAGGAAAAGATTATAATGAATGTCTTAACGGGGGAAAAAGAGGTGGTGAGGCACAAAGGAGCACGAGAATATTCTAGAGCTTGGGGTTTTGGATGAAGACACAACCACTGACGGTGGAACAACTAAAATTGGGCATGCACAGAGGACAATTTCAAGGAGTGTGGCTACCTTATAGAGTCTTACAGCATGGAAACCCTTTGGTCCCACTAGTCCACTCCAACCATATTCCCAAACAAAATTGATCCCATTTGCCTGCATTTGGCCCATTTTCCTCCAAACATATCCTAATCATATACTTATCCAAATGTCTTTTAAATGTTGTAACTGTACCTGCATCCATTATTTCCTCTGGCGGTTCATTCCACACATGAACCACTCTCTGTATTTAAAAAGTTGCCTCTCATGTCATTTTTAAAACTTTCTCCTCTGACCTTAAAAATATGCCCCCTATCTTGAACTCCCCCACCCTAGGGAATAGACCCTTGCTATTCACTTTATCTATGCCCTTCATGATTTTATAAACCTCTATAAGGTCACCCCTCGACCTCCTACATTCCAGTGGAAATAAGTCCCAATATATCTAGTCTATTTTTTTTTAACTCAAACCCTCCATTCCTGACAACTTCTTTTCTGAACCCTCTCCAATTTAATATCCTTCCTATAGCAGGGTGATCAGTACTGCACACAGTACTCCAGAAGATGCCTCACCAATGTCCTGTACAACCTCAACATGACGTCCCAACTCCTAAATGCAAAGGTCTGAGCAATGAAAGCAAGTGTGTTAAACGCCACCTTAACCGACCTGTCTACCTATGACACAAATTTCAAAGAATTAAGTACCTGAACCCTTAGGTTTCTCTGCTTGTGGGGGTGGGGAGGAGGAGAAAAGGAGAGGTGTTTGAAAACAAGATGAGAACTTTTATATTAAGTTGTGGCTTTACTGAGAAATGTCACAGGTCAGCAAACATAGGGATGGTGCAAAGAATGCTTCTTGTGTAAGGGAAGACATGGTCAATACAGATTTGGATGACCTCAAGTTTATGGTGGGAGATCAGCCAGGAATGTGTTGGAATAGTTGAGAGTTAGCAATGTTTAGAATGTGAGTTTTAGCAACAAATGTACTGAGGCAAGGTTGACGTCAGGTGATGTTACAGAGATGGAAATAGGTGGTCTTGGTGATGGCACAAGTTCACGGTCAAAAGCTCATTTCAATATCCAGAGTGACTCATGTTGGTGAACAGATTGACTTAATGACAGATTATTGCCAGAGAGAAGGCTGGAGTTGGTAACTAGGGAACAGCGTTTGGAACGGGGACCAAAAGCAATGACTTCAGCCTTCACAAAATTTAATTGGAGGAACTGCTCATCTCGTATTAGTTGTTAAATAAGCTCTGTCTTGGCCAATATTTATCACATTGCTGTGTGTGAGAGTTTGGCTGCTGTGTTTCTGACATTACAACAGTGGAGGCACTTCAAAGGCACTTCTAGAAAAATTGTGTTTGAAAATCTTATCACAATTTGAACTCAGGCTAGTAATTGGAATTTCTATGAATGGAGAGTTTTATGGATGTCTTCAAAACAAACGTCGATTGTTCTTGTTTCTATTGTTGTATGAACGTAAGCACAGGAGTAGGCCATTCATTCCATCAAGCATCAATCATTCACTGTGGCTGATTAAACACTTCAATGCCTTTTTCTCAACCCATCTCTATAAACCCTGTATGCCACTGGTAAACATAAATCTATCAATCTCTACCTTAAACATACTGGAAGTCTGAGCTTCCATGATCCTGTGTGGTAGAGAATTCCAAAGGCTTAGAGCCGTCTGAATAAAAAAAACACTCTTCATCTCAAACCTAAGTGGCTTTCTTTTTAAACTGTGCCTGTGGCTTTAGATTCCCCAACCAGGGGAAACATCTTACCTGCATTTACCCTGGATATCTCGTAAAGTACTTCTTGAGTTTCAAAGAGATCATCTTTCGTTATTTAATATTCTGGAGAATACTGCTCAGATTCCACAATCTCTCTTTATAGGACAGTTCCACCATCCTGGGAACAAGTTTGAACCTTTGTTTGCACTCCCTGTATGACAATAATATTTTTGCTGCATTAAGGAGACCAAAACTGCACACACAACTCCAGGTGCAGTCTAACCAAGCTCCTATAGAATTGAAACAAGACTTCACTACTCCTGTACTCAAACCCTTTTGACATAAAGGCTAACATTCAATTTGCTTTCCAAATAGCTTACTGCATTTTCATGTTAGCCTTCATTAACTTATGGATAAGGACAGCTAGGTCCTTTTGTGAATCGACCATTTGAGAAATACTCTGCACATCTATTTTTCCTCTCAAAGTGCATTATCTCACATTTTTATACATTAAATTCCATCTGCTATGTTCTTGCCCATTCACTAAGCTTTTCCAAATCTCCTAAGGCTGCTTTACATCTTCTTCACAACATGTGTTCCCATTTAGCTTTCTATCATCTGCAAATTTGGAACTATTACATTTGGTTCCCACATCCAAATCATTGATATAAATTGTGACCAAGTAATGACTTGATGGTACCTGACTAGTCACAGCCTACAAAATGAGAGAATGATCCATTTATTCCTACTCTCTGTTCTTTGTCTGTTAGCCAATCAGTAAACTATGCCAGTACATTATCTCCATGTGCTTTCATGTTTTTAATCAGCCTCCTGTGGGGGACTTTAGTAGAAGCCTTCCGAAAATCCAAGAATGCCATGTCCATCAGCTCTCCTTTGTCAATTCTGTTAGTAATGTTTTCAAAACAAGTCCAACAAGATCATGAAACATGATTTCCATTTCGCAAATCCATTCTAACAATGCCTAATTAGATCATAAACTAGGTATCTTTATAATAGATTCTAACATCTCTTTACTACTAATGTAAGGCTAACATGTCTGTTGCTCGCTGTTTTCTTTCTTTCTCCGTCTTAAATAGTGAGGTGATGTTTGCTACTTTTTGAGTTTTTGCGTCTTGAAGGAATATAGAGTTGCTGTAATATAATAGTTTTTTAAAGACTATCCATTGCCTGTTTATGGTCATGCCTTTTAATGTACTTTCCCAATCCACCTGGGCCAATTTGTGCCTCGTGCTTTCATAATATAATTTATTCAAATTTAATACCCTTGCTTCAGATCAAATACCTTACTTTCAAATGTACAGTAAAATTCTATCAATTTGTTTCACTCATCCGTAAAGATTCTGTTGCAACAAGATTGTTGACTAGCCCTTTTCATTACATAGTACTAGATCTAAAACAGCATTTCCTCTGGTTGGCTTCTTGGCATATTGCTCTAGAGAACCATCCTTAACACATTTTTAGAAACTTGTCCTCCTCAGCTTTAGTGTTTGAGTTTTTTACTCAGTCTATGTGAAGATTGAAGACACCCATAATAAATGTGTTGTCCATGCTACATGCTTCTGTCATTTCCTGATCAATACCATGTCCAACGCTACTATTACTATTTGGCCACCTATAAATAACTCCAACCAATATTGCTACATCTTGCTGTTTCCTAGTTCCACCCAAATAGATTCCACACATTGTCATTCCAATCTGAGACCCTCCTTATTAATATACTGATCCCATCAGCGCAATTCCACCATCTTTTCCTGCTAGTCTGTCCTTCATAGATAACAAATATCCTCAAGTATTTAGTTCCCAGTCTTGGTCACCACCCAGCCGTATTTCTGTAATGGCAATTAGATTGTACCAATGTATCCCTGTTTGTGCCTTTAGATCATCTACCTTGTTGTGAATGCTAAGTGCATTCAAGTGGAGTCCCCTTAACTTTATCTTTTTGACATTATTCCATTTTCAAAGTATACTCATGCTTAGCTTTGTTTCCCCTGTCTTCTAGTCTCCCAAGCATCATCTTTTCGACTTCCTTCTTGTTGCCAGCTTCACCTCCTTCCAATTTGGGTTGCCCCTCATGTTGCCATCTCCCGACAAGACACCTTAACCCACCCCAATAGGTCTGACAAACTTCCCTGCGGGAATACCAGTCCCAGTTATTAAATGTAACCTGTTCAGGTCATACTGTCTCACCTGCCCCAAAACCAGTCCCAGTTCCTCCCTTCCTACTGCACCAGTTCTCCAGCCACAAGTTCAATTGATCAGTCCTCCTGTTCTTATGCTCAAATGGCACTGAGATTAGTCCTGAGATTACTTGAGGTCCTTCTTTTTAATTTTCTTCCTATCTCTCTGAAATCTGGCTTCAGAACCTCGGCCCTCTTCCTTCCTATGTCATTAGTACCGATGTGGACCATGACTCTGGCTGAAACTCCTTCCCAGATGGATGTCCTGCAGCTGCTCTCTGACATTATTGACTCTGCCACCAGAGAGACAACACACCATCTTGAAGCCATGTTTCATGTAAGGAAATGACTGTCTGATCCCCTTACTGTGGAATCCCCATAACTATTGCTCCTACATTCTTCTTCCTCCTCCCCCATACAGCTGAGTTGCCTGTGGGGTCATGGGCTTGGCTTTGTCTGCACTCCCCTGAGGAAGCATTACCCTTACCAGTTTCCAAAATGGCATGTTGGTTAGCAAGCATGATAGACTGAGGGTACTGCTACGCTATGTACCTGTGTTTTTGTTTTCCTGGGCTGTCTGCCTATACATCATGTGGAGGTGTCGGTGTTGGACTGGGGTGGACAAGATTCTAAACAAGGCGTCGCACCTAAAAAGCACTGTCTGACCTGAGATATCCCCTCTCGTATACACTGATAAAACCTTTAATTATCTTGGGGCAATAACTTGAAAGAAATTCTGGGATTTGCATTTTAATCAATAGAAACCTGTGTCTCCTCTCTAACTGATTAAAGATTCAACAGGAGGTGGTCAGTGAGCCATTTTTAGGGTTGTTACCTTTCTGCTTATAAATTCTGTGTTGGTATACCTCCTTTTCCACACTACACCTGAGGAAAGAGCAGAGTTACGAAAGCTAGTGTTTTCAAATAAACCTGTTGGACTATAACCTGGCATCGTGTGATTTTTGACCTTGCCTATACATTATAACCTGGAGTGTGACTGTCTCTCTAACTGCGCTATACATGTAGTGCTTTGCCTACTGAAGCTTGGAACTAAAGCTTGTGCAGTCTTTCTGCAGAAGAGTTTGTGTGAGACATCGAAACATTTAAATCCAAATTAATACCCAACTTTCACTTTAAAATACTAACAGAATCTATTTGCCAATCAGATACATTCCCTATACTTGTGACGTCACACTGCCCTTGGTCCAAGTACAGGGAGACCTCTTGGCCTGCATCTTATTTCCTCTCCTGCTCACCCCTCACTCTCTGGAGACTTTAGTTCTTGGTGTAAAACTTAATTAAAGCATCTCTCTCATTTTGATCTAAATTCCCATTGCTCACTCTGACTCAATCTCACTCTGGTGAAGTTCCCTTACATTGGCCATGTGGCTTATTCTGGCCTTCCCTGTAGCTCACGTTTGCTGATAATTTTGCCTCCTTAGAAGTCACGTATGTAGTTTACACCCAAATTAATAGTGTGTTTTATGAGTGTTGAAGAGGTTCGTGACTCAGCTGCTTTTGCGGGCACTTGATGTGAAAGAAAGAACACATATTTCTTGGCAACCACTTGCCCCTCACCTGAGAAGTAGTGAATATTGACACAAATGCTGGCCAATGAGTTGGAGATGGAGTACAATTTGAGATTTACTGGATTTAGGATCAGAATATGGCAATTAGAGTGTAACAGAATTATTTGTTGAGAAAAATACAGATTGGAAAATAGTTACGTCGTACAAAGTGCTTGTGAAAATTAAACCCAGTCACTTACAGGAATTACCCAGTCATCTCCATTCTGGAGTCACTATATGTAAACTTTTTCTTTTCTTTAGTCTAAGAATTTTTGTTCATTCCCACAGGAGTTGCGTGACCAAAATGATGAGCTTCGGTCTGAAATAGAGCTGCTCCACTCACAGCTGCACCACAGGAAATGTAGCAATGCGGGTAACAAGAGGGAGAAGAATCCCATTTGTATAAGCCCTGATGGCTGGGTCACCAGGTGCCAGTCTGCTTCTGGTAAGTGATTGCAGGTTGGCTGTAGCCCCCTCACGCTCTATCTCCTCCCACCTTTCCCATGTATTGTGGCGTACAGTCAGCAGGCAGAAGAATTGTGTACAATGTAAAATCGTGAGTCAGTATTCAGGTTGAGAATGGCTTTGGAAGGTGAGTAGTGCTTTCTTGACTGTGCTACTTAAGGGATAATTATTTGAAAGGAAGGAATGTAAAGAAATAATTTGAACAACCTCAGGATGTCCTAAAATGTTTTGTAGCCAACAAATTGAAGTTGCTGTTTAAATGTAGGGAGGCGTGACAAATGTGAGCCTTTTTTTTCCTATCTGCTCTGTCCAATCATTCTGGTTCGTTAAGAGATAATTATTGGTCAGGGCAACAAAGCTCTCCTTTGGAATGGTTCTTCTGCACCTTTTAATGCCAGTGGTGGAAGGGTCAAGAATGTCTAGACACTGATTTAAGGTGGCACGAGGGAAAAGGGTTTTCACAAAGTGAGTGGTTCAGATCTGGAATGTACTGCCTGAGAATAAATAAAATATCACCACAATCCCAGAGCGCCACAGGACTGGACTCATCAGAGGGCAACAACTGGTTTAACCTGAGGGTCACTACACTTCAGGAGAAGGATGAAGGTGTGAAGGCATGACTTCATGATAAGCTCAGCTGAACCCATGCTTTTGGTGTCACTCTGCATTGCAAACCAGCCGTCTGGCCAACTGAGCTACTACTCCCCGAGAATATGGTGGAGGCAACTCAGTTGTGGCTTTCAAGAGGGGACTGGATAATTACCTGAAGAGAAAATATCTTCTGTCTCTTTTCTATGAAACCATGAAGTAGGGCTACCTGGATTACTGTTGTAGAGAGGAAGTGCTAACACAACAGGCTGCATGGCCTCCTCCTGTACAGTAATACAGTAACCTTTCTTGTTTGTGAATTTACCGGAGAAGGTAGACAAGACCTCAGTTTAACTTCCTATCAGAAAGAAGGCACCTCTGATAGAGCAGCCCCCCTTGTATCCGTGCTGGAATGTCAGCTTAGACTGTCCACCGAGGTGGAACTTTAACCCATAATCTTCTGACTTGAGGCAAGAGTGCTGTCATTGAGGTATGACTGTCAGTATATAGAATGAAAGAATTTTGGTAAAATTTTATAAATATTTTGCAAAGAGAGTTTTTTAAAGATTTTTTTTATTGGCTGAATTCTCTGCAAAGGCATGTTGCAAAATGCAAATTGAAAGGAAGTTAATGTTTGGAACGGTGATAAATGTGACTATTTCTTCATGCCCATATCTCTGCATAGAACAGGAAGTCTCTGCCACTGATATCACTGGAGCAGGAAGTTGGCACCCGCATCATCTGAGGGCACAGTATTGTTGACCTTATTGTTTGTTCACTGTCCTTGAATGCTTACCACCCACTTGTATGCATCCCTTTCCACTTCACTTGCTCCTTCTAATTTTCTCTTCTTCTCCTGAAGGTGGCAGCAAAAGGCATTATTAAGTGCCATTGTTCCTTTGATATCTCAGCATATGCGACCAGTCAATTGTTTGCCCGGCCAGTAAGTGCAGGGAACCTATTTGACTACAGGGTGGAGGCATTGCAACAGAATTCTTCCTCACTCACAATGCTTGGCAGCTTGAACCATGAATGAGATCAGGGGCCTGAAGAAGATGTTTTTCCTCTTTTGGCCTGCTGATCAGCAGGCCTTTGTTGTCCCCCCCTACTCCATTACTCTGTGTGACCTCTGATTTTCCACTGCATGGGTTATTAAAATTGTGTTACCTTTGGATCAGTGGTAAAGCTGTCATCTCTGAATCAGAAGGTTTAAGCATCACTCCAGAAATTTGAGCACAATATTTAAACTCGTACTCCAGTAGAGTGCTGTGCTGTTGGAAACGTTTGGAGAAGATGTTAAACTGATCACACAGTTGCCTTCTCTCTGAATTGAATTAGCTTTACTGGGACATGCACTGGAGTAAGTGCAGTGAAAAGTTTGCAATGTCACCACTTATGGCACCATCTTAGGTACAAGATACCTAGGTACGGATACATAAGTATTTGGTTTAAAATTGCAAGAATAATAAGTACAAGTTCAACATAAGAATAAAAAGGAAAAAGTTATTTGATTTAAGGTCCTTTCATCCAAGTCTGTGCCAGCACCCTAGCCTCTGGATCGCACTGCGCCAAGTCGTCAGTCTTGGCCAGGTTTGAAAACTCGAGGCCTCGCCTCCCCGCTACAGTCCCCGGTCTGGGATTCACCTCCTTGTACTGGCCTTGAGTCTGGGACTCGCCTCCTGTGCCGTTCTCTGGTCTGGGACTCGCCTCCGGGACTCACCTCCTTGTACTGGCCTTCGGTCTGGGACTCACCTCCGGGACTCACCTCCCTGTGCCAGCTTCTGATTTGGGATTTGCCTCCCTGCAACCACCTCCTGTATGGGACTTGCCTCCCCTTGCTGGCCTCTGACCTGGGACTTGCCTCCCTGTGCCATTCTCCGGTCTGGGACTCACCTCCGGGACTGAATTCCCCATGATGGCCTCTGGTCCAGGAGTCACTTCCTCCATTGCCCGCCAAGTAAGTTTAAAATGTTAAGAGTTTGAAAAAAAGCACACAAGAAAAGAGAAAAAAGCAGAGCCAGCATGGGAGCAGCACTCTGCCGCTATGTTGAAGTGAATGTATAAAAATCACATGGTATTTCCTTTATTTTTGCTTTAAATCAATATTGCTACCTGCACATTGAGATACAACCTGGAGTACAGTGTGTATACCTACACTGTCCCTGAAGCTGTTTACTGTTTTTCTCTAAATGAGTTTTTTCAATTCCTTTTGAATTGTAACACTCCTTTACTTACATCTGTACATAGTTTATCACATACAGCTCACTAATGTAGTGGCTAAGACCTCTCTCTTCACATGTTCATTATAGACTGATGTCTTCTTTTACTGATATCAGTCATGTGATTTACGTGAGTCCTTTTTTACCACAATACTATTCTCATGAAAAGTGGGTGAGTTTGCTACATTACAACAGTGATGGCAAATTGTACAGTTCATTTGCTGTAATGCCCATTGGAACATTATGGTGTCACAAAGGGCACTCTATAAATGCAGGTTATTGTAATTGTAGATATGCCTTGAGTGATACCTACCCCCAAACCAACATCAGACTGAGATGAAGGGAAATTTCTTCACTTTGAAGGGTTGTGTATCACTGACATTCTCCAGCCCAGCGAATGAGAAGATTTTGCAGTCAAGTATATTTCAGCTATAGAGCCATACAAGCATAGAAGCAGGCCATTTGGTCCATCAGTTCCACACCAACCCTCCAAAGAGCATCCCACCCAGACTCATCTTGCTACCCTATCCCTATAACCTACATTTCCCATGACTAATCCACCTAGCCTGCATATCCCTAGACACTGTGGTCAATTTAGCATGGCAAATTCACCTAACCTGCACATCTTTGGACTGTGGGAGGAAACCGGAGCATCTGGAGGAAACCCACGCAGACACGGGGAGAATGTGCAAACTCCACACAGACACCTGAGGGTGGAATCAAACCTGGGTCCCTGGCACTGTGAGGCAGCAGTGCTAACCATTGAGCCACTGTGTCGCCCTTTGTTGACAGATATTTGGATGTTAGGGGAATCAAAGTATTAAGGTCAGTGGAGGAAAGGGGAGATGAAGTCGAAGATCATTCAGGCCTTACTGAATGGTGAAGCAAGGTTGAAGGCTCAGTAGCCTCTCCCTATTTCTTATGTTCATATCCTGTTTTGAAGGTAGACTGAATCCATTTCCATTACTTTAAGTAATCCATTCTAGATCATCCTTTTTTGTTCCATTTATCTTAAACCTGGGTCATCTGGTCACTGACCCTCCTGCCAGTGGAAACAGTAGCTCATTATTGACTATCTCAAAACTCTGCATATTTTTGTATACCCCTTTTCAATTTTCCCTAAACCTTCTCCGATCTTGAGAAAAATCTCAGCTTTTCAACTGAATTCCCTCATCCTTGCTACAGGAAGATAGCAGCAAGAGTGGGCCATTCAGCCCCTCAGGCCCATTCTACCATTCTAGATTATGGTTGATCAATTACCTCAACACCATATTCCTGTGCCATCTCCAAAGCCTTGATGTTATTGGTAGCTTGAAAGCTATCAAGAATTCTGAAGATTCACCACCTTCTGGGCAAAGAAATTCCTTCTCGTTTCAGTCCTAAAAGGTTTGCCTGTTATTCTATGATTGTTCCCCCCACCCAATTCTAGATCCCACAGACAGGGGAAACATAATTTCTGCACGTTCCCTGTGCAACCCTTTAAGAGTATTATAACTTGCGTACAACATACAACAAAGATACAAGCCAAATAAAAACCGAAAGAACTGCAGATGCTGTAAATCAGAAACAAAAACAGAAATTGCTGGAGAACCTCAGCAGGTTTGGCAGGCTCTGTGGAGAGAAAGTAGAGTTAACGTTTTGGGTCAAGTGACCCTTCCTCAGAATGGAAGGAAGTATTCTGTGGAAGGGTCACTTGACCCGAAACGTTAACTCTGAATTCTCTCCAAAGATACAAGCCATTCAGCCCAAATGGTCTCAATTGGTGTTTATGCTCCTCCCACATCACTTTCTCTAACTCTATAAGCAAAATGTTCCAATCCTTTGTCTCTTATTTATTTATTTGTTTTCCCCTTCAATGTTTCTGTGCAGTTCATCTCATCGCTCCACATGGTAGCAAGTTACACTCTCTGGGTATAGACATTTCTCCTGATTGGTTCCTTTTTGAATGTATTGATGTCTATCTTATATTTACAGCCTCTGTTTTTTGGATTCTATCACCTACCACCCTGCAAAAATTTGGAAGTATCTTTGCTATGTGTGCACTATCAAACCTCTTCATAATCTTAAAGATGTTTATCAGGTCACATCTTCAGCAATCTCTTCTTTCACAAAACGTAATGCTAAGCTGTTTGGTCTTTTCTGATGGTTACCAAGTCTCAGTTCAGATATCGTTCTTACAAACCCCTTTCGCATTATATCCAGTGGTACCTGTGTCCTTTTTGTAATATGGAGACCTATGTACAGAGTTCTAAGTGGTCCGACAACGTTCTACATAAGTCGAACATTACTTCTCTGTTTGTCAATTCCATTTCTCTAGAAATGAACTTTGGTACTTTGTTTGCAAAATGTTGAACTTAATTGCTAATTTTTGAACAGATAAGGCTTCCCTAGAAAGTGAATGTGCCAACATGAGCATCCAAACAGAGATGGCAATGGAGCAAGTCAGAAGGCAGCATCAACAGGAAGTGCAAGACCTTAAAATCCAATTGGAAACAAAGGCAAGAAATTTCCATGTCTTTTCACACCTCTTCACTTCCTACCTTTCCCCTGTGGAGTAACTACGCACAATCTTTAGACCAAAGGGCAGCCTCGTGACAAGTTCCAGAAAATCAAATATATCTATTTGAGAATGCTGAAAAAGCTTTGAATTTAATGCGCAACTTATTCATGCCACTGAAGCCAACAATATTGAGGGTTAATGGGACATTTCCTGGGGAGGAAAAAAAAACATTTCACTTAGTGGAAAAACTGAAATTCCTATGCACTAGTTGCTTTAATCTAACGCTGCTGCAGTGTCTAGCAATAGTTCTTCAAGTTTTGAAAAACATGGCTGAAATAAAAGGTGGGATAATGTTGTGGTTACTTTGCAGGTAAATTATTATGAGAGAGAAATTGAACTGATGAAGAGGAATTTTGAGAAAGAACGGAAGTACGTCGAACAAAGTTTTAAGATTGAGATCAGCGAACTGGAGGATCAGCGAGTGACCAGGGAACAGGAGATGGAGAGGCTTCAGGGTTTGGTGCATGAGTTGCGTGTTCAACAGCAAGATGCAGAAGTCAAGCAGGAGGATGCAATCGCTGATATGCTGAGACAACATGAAACAGCCAAGCTAAACCTGCAAGAAGAGCTGAGGAAAGAACAGGAGGAAAAGTACAAAATGGAGGAGCTTAAGAAGGACGCAGAGTTGACTAAAATGTTTGAGGCACAGTCTAAATCAAAATTGGTGTTACAAATGCAGGAACTGGAAAAGAGGTTCAAATGGGAGAAGACAGCCCAACAGCAGGCCTTTGCCAAGGAGAGGTCAGAATTAGAGCTGCGGCTGTCAAAGGAGAAGCTTGAAATAGAGAAGGAATTGAAACTCCAACATCAGAAGGAGTTGCAGCAACTAAGGTAGGTTATGGGGACATCTTTGGATTGAAATGGGAACTGGAGATTAATGTGCATATTTAGATCAGTGTCAGTTGTAGCTTAGCTGGTGACATTCTCATACCTGAGTCAGCATCTCCCAAATCTGAATTATCCAAGATCTGCAAGAACAAGGGTTGTAGGTGCATGAAAATGTCATCACCTTCAACGTTTGTCCCAAGTCTCCCAATCTCCTGATTTAATCTTTCATCATTGCTTCAGTTTCACTGAGTCAGAATCCTGGAAATTCCTATGCCATAGCAAAGTTGGAGCAAAAAAGAACAGAATAGATAGTAGCAGGGGTAGGCCACTCAGCCCTTCAAGCCTTCTCCACCATTCAGTTAGATCGTGGCTTACCTTCTACCATAGCTACATCTGCCTGCACCATCCGCATACCCTTTGATTTGTTAGTATCCAGAAATCTATTAATCCCTGTCTTGAATGACTAAGCATCTACAACTCTCTGGGATAAAATATTCCAAAGAGTTACAAGACCTTAAGTGAAGAAATTTCACCTAATCTTGGTCCTGAGTGGCTGATTGCCTCATTCTGCGATTATGACTCTTAGTCCTAAATTCCCCAGTCAAGAAAAATACCCTGCACTTTAAGCTACACCAACTACAGTAGTTCAAGAAAGCCCAGCACCACTACCTCCCAGGAATAAGCAATAAATGATAGCCTTGCTAGTAACACCTATGCCCAAGAACTAATAAAATAAATGGTCTGCATATTTTCTAACGATTGATCACACATTATTCATCATTCTCTGTACTTTGAGGAACTATCCTTTCGGGGAGGCGTTAAACCAATGCCTTGCCTGACCTCTTAGGTGAATGCTAATTATGGAAATGGCAGGGCCTTTCTCCCTGGTATCTTTCCCATTACTTATCCTTCAACTATCATTTGACTAATTATCTAATTACTACCTCATTTATGTTCATGGAACCTTATGTATCCAAATTAGCTGTTGCATTTCTTATGTGAAAACAATGACTATTCTTCAAAAGTACTTCATTGGCTGTAATGCACTTTGGGAGATCCCATGGTCGTGAAATACTACACTTTGTGAATGTTATTCGTTTCTGTTAGAATTTTGGGGAATGGGGTGGTTAGTATCATCAATCTGAACCTGTATGTTGCTGATCCAAGGCAATATGACATTGAGGGTGCTTGATGAATTACTGCTCTTCTTGTAAATGCTTTATTTTCCCAATACCTTCAGGAGATTACAGAAATAATTGTTTTAAAGGTTGTTTTCTGTGGTTTAATGAAAAGTATTTAAATATCCTTAGGAAGGCAACACAAGATGAATCTAACCTGAGGCTCTCACTTTTGGAAGCTGACCATGTTGCTTTAACACAAAAGTATCAGTCTGAGAAAACGCAGCTGATCCAAAGATACGAGCTGAAAATTGAGGAGCTGACAAGACAACAGAGTCAAGAGAGAAGTCAGTGGGAGTCTCATGTTCAGACAACTTGCAATGAGGCCAGGAAAGAAAAGCTAAACCTGCAGGAAAAGATGCACGAGCAACAGGCTGAGATCTGCAAAACATTTGCAATAGAGAGGGAAGAAATGGAAACCAAGTACAAAGAGCAAATACGCAGTCTTAGTCGTGAGATCAAGAGCTTAAAGACTGAGGTAAAAGAGCTACGAAGTATGAACGATGTGGAAGATCTAACCCGACAGGATGAAAAACTCACTGCAGACAACTCTTGCCTTTACCAGAGGATCAATGTCCAACCTTCAACAAATGAAGAATTTTTTGCATTGTTAAAGAACAAAGAAGAGGAAATATTGGGTTTAAAACAGCAAAGAGATGAGATGGAAATAAAGCTGAGGCAAGCGATGGATGAGTCAGAGAGAAAGGAGCAGGTGATTCAAAATGAGACTAAGAATCTGCAGAGGTTGGTAACTAAACTAGAAGCAGAGACTGAGACTGAGAAGAAGTACAGGTTTGTCATAATAATTATCTTCGAATCGCTAATAACCACATTACTACTGCTACTAATCACAAGAATTGCATCTTAATCATGAACTGACTGTTAATCTTCCTGTTAATCAAAATCAAGCATGCAAAACTTGCTTTCTTTATGTCAATGATTAAACTGATTTCTTCATCTTCGGGCAGCTGTTCAAGAATGAGATTTCTGCAGTGTCCCTAGTTTCACCTTTTCTGTGCCGTTATGCTTTGTCACTGCTAATTTGCAGGTTTCCAGGTAGTCACTTCCTAACTTTTCTGACTGTACTGTGGACCTATTTATTTATATCCATTGCTCTTGCTGTGGACGAGCAGGGGAGGAGGTTAATCATACAGTGATCAGAAACTCTGCCAATAAAAAACAAGCTGCTCAGATTCCAAGATGGAAATATACCTCAAAGACAATATGTTGTGGAATTTGAAGGAGCACTTGCTTGGAAGTTGAGTGTTTTGGAGGTGCTGCTGCATCAGCTGCTTCAGTTCGTGAGAAGCATCTGTTAATCTCCAATTGGAATGTCTTGAAGCCCACGTTATTTTCAGGGACCTTGCAATGTCCAATCAGATTTACTAATTGGTCTTCTTAGGTTAAAATTGATATTTTTTAAGGGGCTTTATTAATGCTTATAAACTTTTGAAAATAAGTGAGAAAATATGGAATAATATAATCTCATAGCACAGCAGAACGTTATTTGTACCCCACCAGCTCTTTGAAAGAGCTATCCGATTGGTCCCAGTCCCTGTTCTTTTCTCGTGTCCTGCATACCTTCCCCTTTTCAGGTATTTTATGCAATCGCCCTTTGAAAGTTACTGTTAATTTGCTTCTCCCAAGCTTTTCAAAAGTCCTCATCGCCCTCTAACACATATTATGTCATCAACCAAACGGTGGTGGAATAATCAAATTGAACTTAATTTATGGGACTTCTGTGTCAGTTTTGGTGATGGTGGTAAATGTACTAAAAGCACGGAGACTACTTCCGCATGTCTGATATGATCACCATGTCTTTCACTTATTTCTATTCCTTGCATTCTGTGTCCATCATGATGAACAATGTTAGAGCACTTAAAAGTATTTGCAATGTCAGGGCTAATATTTAGTGATACCTCAGATTCTGTACTTGGAGCACTTCCTGAAATTCTTTAGAAAAACGCTGTTGTTATTTGACAAGAATAATGTATTCCTTAGATGTGAGTCTGAAATGCTCTCTGAAGAAAACTCTTCCTTGAAAAGAAAAGTGGCAAAGTTTCATCAGGAGTTCCAGGATCTGGAAGGAGAAGTTAATGAAGGAAGGTAAGTTAGGTGGTGCTTTTGAAGCTTCACAAAATGCTTGTGTTTTTGGTGGCTGGACTCCTTTCTTTAAAAAAAATTGTACTGTACAGGAAACAAGTGGAACACCTGAAAGACGAAAGAGAGTGCAGCCAGAGAGAATCTGAAGAACTCCAGAAACGGGTAAGGATTTGAACTTGCCAATGGTGGTTAGAAATGTTGCTTTGGGCTAGATTGAAATCTGATTTCACCAAGGTGATTTAATGGCATAAGAATGACATTAATTGAGTGTGACTTGACTAGTCTGGTAGATTAATTTGACTGGTATTAGGTTACAGCTCTAATCTCTTGTCTACTTGGGTGTGGTTTTAAATCCAACCTATGTAGATAAATTGATAATCTCTCTTTGACATCTAAAAGGAAGTGATGTGAGCCTGTCTCATCTGTTACCACTGGGTAGTTCTTGTTGTGTTCAAAACCTCTGTGCCCCTTCCTATGCTCCATCTCGGCATCGCCTTTGGATCCCATGCAGTCCTATGGCATCGGATAGGAACATAGGAACAGGAGTATGCCATCCAGGCCATCGGGTCTGTCCCATTATTTAATGAAATCAGTGGCTGATGTGTGGCCTAACTCCATATACTTGCGTTTGCGCCGTATCCCATAATACCTCTGCTTAACAAAATTTCATCTACCTCAGATTTAAAATTAACAGCTGACCCAGGAACTGTCATTTGTTGAAGAGAGTTCCAAACATCTACCAACCTTTGCATTTAGAAGTGCTTTCTAAGATTTCTCTGAATGGTCTGGCCCTAATTCTCAGACTGTGCTCCCTGTTTTGAGAATCCCCAACCAGTGGAAATAGTTTATTTATATCTACCCTGTCTTTTCCTATTAATATCTTGAAGACTTCAAGCAGATTACCCTTTACCCTTCTAAATTCTAGAGAAAAGATGCCTAATTTGTATTGTCTGTCCCCACAACCACTTTGTCCGGGTATCATTCTTGTAAGCCTACGTTGTACTCCTTCCAAGCCCAATATATCCTTCCTGAGGTATGGTGCCCAGATCTGCTCACAGTGCTCCCAAGTGGGGTCTAACCAGATTTTTGTATCACTGCAGTATAACTTGTGCATTCCATTAGCTTTCTTGATTATTTTCTGCTCTTCATCTGTACGCCTGTACCTCAAGGTCTCTTTGGACATCCACTGTATTTAACTTCAGTACCATAATCTGTCCTGTATCACTCCAAAATGGATAACCTCACACTTACTTACATTGCACTGCATCTGCCACAGTTTTGCCCATTCACTTAGTTTATCAATATCCCTTCATAATTTTATGCTTTCATCAACAATGTTCATAATGCCACTTTGTGTCGTCAGCAAATTTGGATATATGAATTTCTATATCATTATCACAGTCATTAGTAAATAATATTAATTAATGGGGCCCTAACACAGATCCTTATGGGACTCTTCTGGTCACATCCTACCATTTGAAGTACCTACCTATTAATTCCACTCTCTGTTGCCTGCCTCTGAACCAATTTCCCAGTCATTAATTTGCCTTCAATTCCGTGGGTTTCCATTTCAGTTAATGTCTCTTATGAAGTATTTGATCAAATGTCTTCTGTAAGTTCATATAAACAACATCCATAGATATTCCCCTGTCCACTATCTTAGTCATCTCTTCAAAAAATTCGGCAAGGTTTCTCAGGCATGACCTACCTGTCATTATCCCTTTTAGTAGCTCTTATAAGCTGCATTGAGGCCCTTTGCTAGTCTTTGTATCTTGTCCATTTAGTAGGATCAGTGCTGTCTTTTTGCATTTTTGTACGTTCTTTCTTTTACTTTTATGCTTTCCCTTATCTCTTTAGTTGTTCCTGACTGTTTCTGCTGTGAATTGGAGCTTGTCCCTCTCTGGGAATCAAACATGGACAAGAAAATTGTCTACTCATTAATTCCTACTGTCTCCCTCAGCTGATCATTCAGCCCTCTTCCACGTTGAATGCCACTTCAAAAAGGCACTGAGGTTAGAAAGGGGCTCATTCTACTATCAGTGGAAGATTTCAATGTCCATCACCAAGGACTTGATACCAAGACCTCTCTGTCATCAATTGTAGATGCATTTGTCCATGGTAGCATTATTTGGAGTGACCACCACACAATCCTTATGGAGATAAAGTCTTTTCTTCGCATTGAGGACACCCTTTGTGTTGTGTGGTACTAATACTGCGTTAAACAAGATAGACTCAGAATAGATCTAGGCATCCACGAGGTATAGCAGCATTGTATTCAGCTATAATCTGTAATTTCTGTTGACTGGCATTACCATCACTTTACCATTACTGTCAAGACAAGGAATCAACCTTGGTTTAATGGAAAGTGCCAGGAGTAAAATCAGGCATTAAGGTAATGATAAAATCGGCATAGTCCTATGAGGCTCACCACACCTCAGTTGAGGGGAGAGGTTGAGGCCACATACCTAAAAGCGAGGACCCATTCAGGTGAAGCTATAACACAGGACTACAAGTATGCTAAACAGCAGAAGCAGTATGTGATCAACAGAGCTAAGTGATCCCACAACCAACAGATCAGATCAGAGCTCTGCAGTCCTGCCATATCCAGTTGTAAGTGATAGTAAACAATGAAACAACTAATCATAGAAGGAAGTTCCACAATTATATCCATCCTCAATGACAGATCAACTCCACGCATTGATAAAAAGGTCAAAGCTGAATCATTTGCAATCATCTTGAGCCAGGAGTGGATGGATCCATATTGGTCTGCTTCTAAGGTCCTCCTCATCATAGATCATTGAGTGTATTTAAAACACAGAGAGGTTTTTGATTAGTAAGGTTATAGGGAGGCAGCAAGAGAAATGGGGTTGAGAAACATATCAGCCATGATCAAATGGCAGGGCAGACTCAATGGGCCGAATGGCCTAAATCTGCTTTTATATCATGGCCTTATAGATGCAGGATTTTAACCAATTTGATTCACTCTATGTGATGTCCAGAGTGACTGAAGGCACTGGATATAACAAAGTCTTATTGGCTCTGATGACATCATGGCTGGAGTACTGAAGACACGGGTTCACCAGCAGGTTGTTCTTCTAGCAAGCTATTCCAATGCAGCTACAGCATTGGATCTACACTTATGAAAATTGCCCAGCTAATTCTTGTCCACAAAAAGCAAGATAAATCCAACCTACTTGATTACTGCCCCACCAGTCTTCTAGTATAATTTGGATAAATGCGAGGTATTGAATTTTGGTAAAACAAACAAGGACAGGTTTTTTACAGGTAATGATAGGGTCCTGGGTAGTGTTGTCAAACAGAGAGATCTAGAGGTTCAGGTGCATAGTTCTTTGAAAGTTGCATCACATGTAGATGGGGTGGTAACAAGGTGTTTAACACTCTTGCTTTCATTGCTCAGACCATTGAGTATAGGAGTTGGGATGTCATGTTGAGTTTGTATAGGACATGGTGAGGCCACTTTTGGAGTACTGTATACAGTTCTGGTTGCCCTGCTATAGGAAGGATATTATTAAACAGGAGAGGGTTCTGAAAAGATTTACCAGGATGTGGCCGTGAATGAAGAGTTTTAGTTATAAGGATTGGCTGGATAGGCTAGGACTTTTCTCACGGAGCATAGGAGGTTGAGGGGTGACCGTATAGAGGTTTATAAAATCATGAGGGGCATGGATAAGATGAATAGCAAAGGATTTTTCCTTAGGGAGTTCAAAACCCAGGGGCATATGTTTAAGGTGAGAGGAGAAAGATTAAAACCGGACCTGAGGGATAACTTTCACACACAGGATGATTCGTATATGGAATGAGTTGCCAGAGGAAGTGTTAGATGCAGGTTCAGTTATTACATTTAAAAAAAACATTTGGATAGGTACCTGAATAGGAAAGGTTTAGAGGGATATAGGCTAAATGCAGGCAAGTGTGACCAGTTTTAATTTGGGAAACTTGGTCAGCATGGACGAGTTGGACCAAATGTTCTGTTTCTGTGCTGTATGACTCTATGACACTTGGCCATCAGCAGAGTGATGTGGGTGTTATTGACAGTGTTACCACATGGTTGTTACTCAATTATGGCCTATTGACCTGTTCTCTGTTCGAGTCCTACCAGGGTCACTCAGCTCCTGAATTTAATGCAACTTTCATCCAAGTATAAACAAAAAGCTGCATTCAAGAGATGAGATGAGAATGATTATCCTTGACATCAAGGTAGCATTTAACAGTGGTGGCATGAAAGAACCCTAGTAAAATTGAAGCAATTGGAAATCTGTGGAAACTATTTCTGCTGTTGCTGGCTGATAGAGACCATTCATCTCAGACCCAGAATGTTGCTGCAGGGTAGTATCCTGGGCTAAGCCATCTTCAGCCTCTTTAACTATGATTTTGCCCGTATTATAAGATCAGAAGTAGGGATGTTCATTGATTTCTCTGTATTCAGGATCATTTGTAAGTCCTTGCATACTGAAGCAGTTTGTGCCTGCATGCAACACAACCTGGACAACATTCAGGCTTGGACTGATAAGTGGGAAACAATTTGCACCACACAAGTACAAAGTAATGATCATATCAACGAGAGAGAATCAAGGATCCTCCATTGGTATTAGCATAGCTGAATCTCCCACCATTGATGTCTGTTGATTGGAAACTTACTTGATATAAATACTGTGGCTGCAAAAGGAGATGAGAGGCTGGGGAATTCTGTGGCACAATAATTCATCTTCTGACTCCTCAAAGCTTGATCGTCATCTACAACACCTGTCACGGGAGTGTCATAGACTATTTTCCACTTGCCTATATGAGGGCAGCTCCATCAATACTCAAGAACTTTGACAACATTCAGGCAGCTTGCTTGATTGGCACCTCATCCACTACCTTAAACATTTACTCTCTGCATCACCAATACACAGTGGCTGCAGTGTGTACCATATACAACTCATCAAGGTTACTTTGACAGCGCTTTCTAAACCTACAATTCCTATGGTAAACAAACAGGAGACTGGAAGAACACAGCAAGCCAGGCAACATCTAGAGGAAAGGAGCAGTCAACGTTTCGGGTATTACCCTTCTTCAGGACTCTTGACTGTTGAGTCCTGAAGAAGGGTAATACCCAAAATGTTGACTGCTCCTTTCCTTCAGATGCTACCTGGCTTGCTGTGTTCTTCCAGCCTCCTGTTTGTCTACCTTGGATTCCAGCATCTGCAGTTTTTTTTTAATCTCTGTCCACAACCCTTATGGCCTAGAACAGCAGGCACATAAGCATACCATCACTTACAAGTTCCTTCCAAGTCATATCCTGACTTGGGGACAGAGCACCCTTCCTTCACTACCATTAGATTAACCCTCTCCCTTAACAACACTGTGGGAGTATCTACACTACATGGTCTGCAGCAATTCAAGAAATCAGCTCTCAAATCACCTTTAGGGATGGGCAATGAACACTGGCCCAGTCAGCAATACCCAAATTCCATGAAGAATTTTCTTTTTGAAAATCTGCTGATTGTGCTTTCATCTACCTGGTGCCTATGTTCTGCAATTTTCTCCCTAAACCTTGGCCTGTCTGCCTCTCTGTTTCTCTAAAAACACTCCTCACAACATTAGCTCCTTCTTTAAGTTGCAGGCAGAATAGAACTGGAGACAACCGGGGAAAGGTCACCATGTAGGAGAAATTGAAATACCACTGTTGTATAATAAAGTACCGTAATAGCAGCACCGTATCACACTGGCTACTGGGTATAGTGGGCAAATCGCATTGCCTACTATAAATGATGGAAATTATACTAATAATGAAGCATACCACCAGTTTGGTTCATTTTATCCACTTCTGTGTGTTGAATATTTTTGAGTTGTCGCAGGTTTAAATTTATGGATATTTGCTATTCTCTCTTTGTCTAGATGTTCATACAAAGAAGAATAGAATGTGTTAAAATCTGCTTTTGTAATGTGAGATAAATATTGCCTATTTTTTGCATTGATCTTATCTAGAACAAACAGTATGTGGCTGAAATTGCCCAGCTCAATAGCAAGAACCTGCAGCTCAGCAATCAGAACTCGCTATTCAGTGCCAAGGTCGATGCTAATCAGCACAGCATTCAGATGCTCAATGCAAGACTAGCTGAACTCTCCCAGCAGAAGGAAGAGGTGGTTAGTGTTAACAAACAACTGCAGGAAACTTCCAGCAGATTGGAGAAGGAGCATTTCCAGCAGCAATTTGTATGGGAAAAGGAAAAAGAGCTCATGCAACAGGAACTGCAGGCAACTAAGGAAAAGGTTTGGCATGTTTCTTTCTTCCTTGTGGTTCTTTTGAGATAGAACTTTGTATAGAACTTTCACAGTCTCACAACATCCCAAAGCACTGTAAAGCTAATTAAGTACTTAGCAGTCACCATTCTAATGTCAGGACAAGTTTGGTTACAGCAATCCCATAAACCCAATTGTAATATGTGGGCTTTTAGTTAATGTAAATTAGATGATAAATGTTGACCAGAACGACCGAGAAAGACAAAATTTCTTCTGTACTACACTGAAAGGTCAGCTAGTATAGATTATGTGCTCAAGACTCTGGAATAGGGCTTGAATCCTTAGTTCTTTTCTTATAAATTAAGAATGATTTGTGGCATGTGTAAATCCACATTGTGCACGCTGAAACAATACTTTGTACCAATGAGAAGGTGGGAACAAGGCCTCCTATAGGCCTTGGCCAATGCTGCACTTGATCTGGATATCACCAGGTCAGAAGTCACACGACACCAGGTTACAGTTCAATAAGTTTATTTGAAATCACAAGCTCTCAGAATGCTGCTCCTTTATCAGGTGAAATCACCTTCTGACCTTGTCCACCTCAGTGCAACACTGGCACCTCCACATCATGGCTACTACCAGGTGCAGGCATCTTTTATTTTCTCATTTTTAAAGACAACAAAGGATATTAATAATTTGCATTCTGATTACCTAATTGCTGAAATTCGACCATAATTGATGCCCTATAATGTTCCTGCCTGAACCTATCATTAGATTAGAACTCTGGTGTGCTTGGTTAGTTATGATGGATCTGCAAAAGAGGATTACGTGTTGTTTGGAATGGAAAAACAGAAACATTTTGATTGAATTGAATTTCAAGTAAGCTATTCACAGTCCATAAAACGCACAGTGCTCTTCTGAAGCATAGGGCATGGAGATGCTGCTGTTATACCTCCAAATAGAGGCTGCTTTTGGTCCTACTGTTAAACGAAGCTTCACATGATCTTCAAGTGGTGCTTGTGTCAATGGTCTTGTCCGTGGCTCAATGGCTGAGCTTAAACCTCTGAGTCAGAAGGTGGTTGAGGTCAAGACCTATGCCAGAGACTTGAGCAAAAATTCTCTTCCTAACACTTCAATGATGTATTGAGAAAATCTATCAGACTATCAGAGAAGTCTCTTTAAGATTGGGCAGTGTTTGCTACAACCACAAGTGAGAGCTAATTTGGGAACGTTCATGGTTCCAAATCCCGGAGGGAAGAGAGCCCAGGATCTGGGGGTTGGAGCGGTGGGGCTGTAACAAAGTGGGTCAGGAGGTCCCTCCCTGTCTGTTTCCCTTCTTCCACACCTCCCATGACTCCCACCCCCTGACACACGCATACAGACACACACACATGCACGCACACATGCATACACGCACACACATGCACACACACACTCTCTCTCTCTCTCCCGCTCCGGTCACCCTCTGGTTCTCTCCCAATGTCTCTCTGTTCCCCCCAACCCTCCCTTTCCTGGATCCTGATCTCCAGCTCCCTGCGCGATGTTCCTCTGAAACTATTTGTATGCGCACATGCAATTTAAAGCTACGCATAGTGCCATGCACTGATGTTAACAAATGCAGCCTTAAGATTGAGGCATTAAAATAAGGCCGCTCTAAAGTGAGTGTAAGAGATTCCGTTAATTTGTAAGACTGGAGGATTTCAACCGACCAATATTTATTGTTCAACTAATATCACTAAACTAAATTATGGATCATTAGATCTTTATTTATAGGTCCTAGTGGTATCTTATTTGGTGCCTTGTTACCTTACATTAGAACAGTGAATATATTTTAAAATTATTTCTTACTGTAAAGCATCTTGCAACAACCCAAAGTCGTGAAAGGTACCATAAAATGCAAATTTATTCTTTCTTTGTTACTTAATTAGTTGCTACTGAATTCTTATAGAATAGAATTCCCACAGCGTGGAAACAGACCATTGAGCCCAACAAGTTCACACCAACCCACCTAACAGCATCCCACTCAGACCCATCATCCTACCCTATATTTCCCATGGCTAATGCACCTAACTTACACATCCCTAAGCACTATGGATAATTTAGCATGGCCAATCCACCTAACTTGCACATCTTTTCAATTCAATTCTATTGATAAGTCCTCTGTTTTGTTCTAACGTTTATAATAATTTCACTGCTTGATTCACCAGACATTTGTTTTTACAATTCCTGGAATTCCTGTTTCTCAGCTTCAATGGGCCTTCATTGCCTTGAGGACATTGAAGATTATGGATCATTCTTTCACTGATGGTCATCTTATCTCTTACTAACGGTGAAACCGAGAAATTGCTATTAAATGCCTGAGGATTTTATTCCTGCATTTGACTTTGTGCAGTAACTGGATTGATGAGGGATGTTACTTTTAAAGAAATGCTTGGTAGACACAGTAACTCACCATAACTCTTTCCTTCAGTCATCCCCAAACTGTCCACTTTGTAGCTTCACATTACTTCTCCTCTTAGTCACCATGTGGTCTACTAATATGCAAATGTGTAGGTGGTATAGTGATAATGATGTTGAAGATTTGGACAAATAATCCACAGATGTGACTTCAATTGTGTATCGTAATAGTTTAAGATTTTTAATTCTATTCTAAAATTCCAGAAGTGAAGACCTGGTATCGCTAAAAGAGACATGAAGCTGTTAGTTTTTATAGAAAAAAAGCCCAATTAGTTTGCTCATGACAGTTGTAGAAGGAACACTGCTGTCCTTACCTGATCGAGTTTATGTGCAACTCCAGCCCCACACCAACTCATTTAACTCTTAAAGAGCTTCTGAAATGGCCTACCAAGCCCCTCAGTTGTATTACCATCTTCTTGAGGGCAACTAAGGATGAGCAACACTGAAGAATGGTAGTGAAATGTATATCTAATTTTATAGTTCCAAATGTGCAACAGTACTACCTGTTGCCTTTTCAGTTCCCTGCTAAATGCCCCTTTTACAATAACGTATTTAAAAAACGGTGATTGTATTTCATTAAAGGCTAATCAATTATCAAACGTACACTGAAACATACCTCCATTTATAAGTTTCTTGCTCAGCTTGCTGAGGATTCCACACCCACTTATACAGTGGTTTTAGAGGGCAACACTTATCAATTTTTCACTGTCCTAGAACCAAACTTTCTGCACTTAAAAACCAGCATAATCTGTGGTCCTGAGATTGTACAATTTTTGTGGATTAAAAGAGCAATTGGTAGATACCAAGTGATAGTAACACATGCATTGGTATTTAGACATTATTAGCAAGGTGGGCATTTATTGCCTGTATGTAGTTGTCTGAGAAGAATGTGTGGGTCATAGTATAGTGACTATGAAACAAAAAATGATCATTTATGAAGGTATTTACTGGTCAACTTAGTTGATGTAGTGAGTCTAAATAAGGACTTGGTGGGCCGAATGCAGGCTTGGTGGGCTGAAGGGCCTGTTCCTGTGCTGTATTGTATTGTGTGCAGGATTGTAAGCTACAGCAGATAGGGAAGGCATAAACAATACATTTTCTTTTCATCTGACCTGTTTCAACTTAAGGTATAACTTTTGAGCAGTTATTTATAACTTTGCCATGTTTCTGTTGTAGCGTAGGACCAGATGAGAGACACTAGGATTGTTACAAGCAAATTCAGTTGAATTTTAAAGTACTTTGGGTTATATTTTAAATCTTGTGCTGCAACAACATTTTATAATACTTTATAATTGTCTACACACAAAACTGATGAGTCTTAATTACTTCTCCCTACTATTTCTGTTTCCAAATTCTTTTCTAATCTTCTTCCTGGTTTTTTAACTTGACTTCAGTTTTTACTAACATTTCCATTCTCCAAATTTCTACTGAGCTTCACTTATTTTAAATGTATAACATGTCTTGCATTTTGTTTCCTCTACGGATGCTCCCAAAGTTATTAGATCTAGATTCACTGGCTAAAGAGACAAATTTACTAAGGGCAGAGAAAAAGAGCCTAGATATTCAATCTATGACAACTTTGCAACTCCTTCAGGAGGCCAAAGAGAAGGTATTAAGATTACCATGTAAAAATTGTATTTCATTGAGTTAAACAGTGTGCAAACTGAACATTGTCTTTGCATGAATTGTACATCGTTCAATTATCCTGATCTAATATTTTTTGATTTAAACATTCTAGAGGCTGAATGAACTCAATGACCCTTGCAGTTGATACAGAAGTTCAACAATGACCTGACTGAATGGCAGAACAGGCTTGAGGGGCTGAATGGTTCATTCCTGCTCCTATTTCTTGTGTTCTTAAGATCTCCATTTTAAATCCTGGTCTTTGAAATTAGGTGATCACTTTTGTGTAGGTGCAATTGGTACAATGTCCCGTATGAAGCAAGGGAAAATCAGCCAACATTCCCACTCATGAACATGGTTTGTAGGGCTTCTGTACCAAGGTCTTCGGTGGGCAGGAACCAATTGGCTGTGACCCCTTGTGTTCAAAAAGAAAGATCATTGTTCGCTATTTTGTCTCACATAAAAGGTATACAAGCTAGCAAATATTCAGCATTTCTATGAGGAAGAAATGATTTTCCATTTAGACAGAAATATGTGTATGTCCAAAATTGAACAAATGCAAATCGAACCAAATTTGACAATCTGGTTTGGGACAAGGTAAGGATTGAGTAACATTTGGAGAAATTCCTATACACTTTTGAAGCTTACAATTTTTGACTTACGATTGAAGCCACAGTTTGTGTTGGTAGGGGAGACAAGGCTGATTTGAGGAATCATCACTTGGCCCACAAACATTC